GCTATACTCTTGGCTGAGAATATCGAGGTTAAAGCTGATAATGTAAAGTTGAAGCAAGCTTTAGAAAAGTATGAAGTAAGATTCATAAATCTGGAACAGAGAGATACAGAAACCATTAATAATATCTTGCAGGAATATAAAGGTATTACAAATTCTACCGAAAATTTGACTTTAGTAAATGAATTAGTACAAGGTTTATTACAAGACTTTACCTCACATAATAATCAATGTTGGGAATCTATAGAAATAACCAGTCCCACATCCATACCAGAAAACCTTCAGAAGCTCGCACATTATTTTATCAGGCAAGTATCGTTAGAAAAAATTCAATTAATACAAAATGAGAAGAAATTTTATTTTGGGGTCACTATTCTGAAAGATATGAAGATAAGGTTATAGAGTTTAAATCTAGGGATAAAAATCTTACGGATAAGTCTGCAAGAAACAGGATTTATAACGAAATGAAATCATATCTTTCGGGTATTTCTGATGGATATTTACGTGTGATGACTTGTAAAGCAAGAAAGATTAATAAGTTATTTGGATACGAATACGATCCTGTGACACTAAGGGTATAGGCTGGCATATGGTTAATCGAATTACTTGTAGTGCTGACAGTATTTCAAGACTTACTAATCCTCAAATTCGATATATTATAGATTATTTGTCTTCGAAAACAATTAACAATGTTAAAGATCATGATCGTGTGAATGAAGTTTCTGAACATGGTTCAGGAAGCAATAATGATAAATCAGATAAAGAAATATAAGAGATAATATACAGGGTTTATGGGATAGTGGTGATTATATTAATACAGAAACTTATCGTATTTGGATGTTATAAAAATTATCAAAATTCAATCCAAATAGTAATGGTAAAAGTATAGTAATTATTTCTCAGACTTATCTATTGTTGACTTAATATTATATAGCTGGATTCATCAATATATTTTTTATACTATTGTTTGTTAAATTATATATATTATCTAAAGAAGAAATGGTTCAAGAATCCAATCTGGATTAAAATTGAATCCAGTTATTCTAGAGTATAAAATTATTGAATCAAATAGATCTATTATGTATAACTTCTATAAACATCACAAATAATAGGTCATATAAAATATTTAGTTTGAGTAAATTACATGGAACCAATTGTATTGATACTGAATGAAATAAATATATAAAGTTATTACAAATTCATGATAATAAAACTTTCAGTGAGCATATAAAATGGATTTGGAAACATCTTACATATTTTAGAGAAAATGATCTCTTATTTTATAATAGCAAAAAATATCTTAAAGCTAGAAAGTTAAAAAGATATTGGAATAATATTAATAGATTTATACAAATTATACATTTGAAATTGATATTGCTATTTGTTTTTGTTTTTGTTTTTTTTTTATAATGGAACGTGTGCACGGTGCATGATCTTTATTGATACGTTTATATATCCAGACAAACATTAAATGTCTCTACAAATTAACCAGAAATCAGTTGGTACAGGATACTCTTTTATGTCTCTACAGTTAATCTGCAGATTAATACTACCTAGTACATATATATTACTATAAGACTAGCTATGCTAACCACTATTACCCAACTATGCGTCTATTTAAACACTTCGGAGATGTGTTCACATGTCAGGCAGGACTTTCGCAAGGGGTGAATCCTATCACTAGTTTAAATCCACCTACAATCTGCTGGTTCATTATTGCGAGGAGCAAGTTATTATGGAATATTATTATAGAGACTAACTCCAGTATTCCAGTCACTGTTATCACTGATTCTTGGGAGGTGCCACTAGCATAGCGTCGCACTACCATTCTCATTACCTGTGGAATTGGCATTCTTGCTTGGATTCCGATTTAATCTTGTAGATTCTCACTAGACTTACTTGGCTTAACGATTTTTGCCTAGTCTTCTCACCACCTGTGGTTGATGCCTTGCCCTTTGGCCATATGATTAAGTTCCATGGAACACCACCATTGGGATAGATCTACAAGCTCTAGATTGGAATAGTTTAGCTTAGAATTAATCTCTTTATGTTGTGTGACAGAGTCTGCCGTTGCCAGTTTGGGTTGAACTTTGTGGGCTTATTACTGGAGTTAGACCAAAAATCTTTCCTTATGCAACCTTCCTTGCTTCGACCTGTTTTTAGCCTGCAATCATTGGAAAGACTAGAGGTCTCATCTTTATGCAGCCTAACTAAATTTGGAAATGGATTGTCAGCTGATTGTGTATAACATGAATTGGAAGCCAGTCAACTAGATATTGCCATTTGTTTTTTTTGCAATCAATTAGTATATATAAGAAAACAAATCAAAAATTTAGGTAATTATAATTATATAGAAATTAAAAGGCATTGGGTTTCTCATTGTACAAGAAATATTTTTTATAATATAAGTTATGAAGAATATATAAAAATTAAGCAAAAATCTAATTTAGGATATAATTATAATAATAAATATACATTATATTATTATGAATTATAAATATATAATACTATTAAAAGAGTTAAATATGTAAAAGAAATCAATAGAAAAATCAAAACTATAAATATTATATTATATAAATAACTTGAATATATATAATCAGATAGTTTCTATATTTTAAAATTGGTATTATATTATCAAATATTATAGACTGTTTGAAAGAAATATAACAAGTTAACAATATATAGCTTTACAATATATACATATTAACTTATTATATAACTTATTTGTATATATATATACAGTATAGTATAGGGCTCCAAAAAAATTAAATTAATTTGAGTTAACTTGATATAAAGCTCAAAAAAATTGAGCTCAAATTTTATTTTTATAATCTAAGTTAAATTTGAATTAGAATTTTGAATATTTAATTTGACTCACAAGTTATATATTATTTAAGAAAAATAAAATAATATAGTTAAATTAATTAAATAAATAATATATTGTTAGTTTTAATTTAAGTTAATATTTTTTTAAGAAGTTTCTCCAGTAAATAAACATCATTTCTTTATTTGATTTGTATATAACAAGATATATATTGTAAAAGAAATAACATATTTTTCATTATTACAAGAAAGTTAAATGCTAATTTACTTACTTTACAATATCTAACTAATATTGTAAAAAAATTCAAAATCAATATTAATGTACTAGATAAGACTGAGTAGTGACTATGCTTATCATTTCAAGAAATTTTGTAAATTCTTTTAATTTTTTGGATGTAAAAAATTAAAAAGAAAAGTAAAAGTAACTATAGCTAAAACTAAATCAAATATACTATAAGATCCATATGTATAATGAAAGAATTTCCAGATAGGCTCATAGTTTCATCTTTTCAATTCTTTGAGTACTATAGATAATAGAGTACATGTAATATTATTTGTTGTTATAATTGTTAATAGTAAGTTAATTGTTGTTATTGTTATGATACAAAACCGATTTAAGCTTATTTAATTTTTGTTTTAATTTTTAAGTGAAATCTGAATGGATGATTAAAAAGTGCTAATCATTTGGAGGGTAAACTGATTTCAGTTTTTTGAATAAAAAATTTTTAAAGGTTGAAGATGGCATAGTAATTATTGTTACAAAAATATTATATATAAGGGTTGATTTAAAACAAATAATAGACTCACTAACTGTAACAATACAAATGGTGAAAGGAGTGACACAATATATGTCATACAAGTGGCACAGACAAGCTAATAGAGGGAGCATTGCAATTGGAATACAACTATTCAAACTGTATCTCTTTAGGATATCTGGAACTTGAAATATTAA